GACTTGAAAAGATAGGAATATTTTAATACATAACATCTATACTATAGTACAACGTTTATGAAATGAACGAAATTCAAAACAAGTGATGATGTTTTGAATTTAACTAAATGAAACTATAGGTTTTCCTTACTTTTTTTCTGGTCCTTTCTGTGTCTCCATATTCAAGGAGAAGTGCATTATGCATTTTCTGATAAATCTGAACAAAGTCGTCTAGCCTTCTCTGCAACCGATTATTTTTCAGGTCCCACTGATTTTTCTTCATTTTATGCTGTCACAAGCAGACGTTCCTCGTCTCCGGAATACTAAAGTCCGAACCCTCAGAATGTGATGGTAACATGCACGAGACTTCGCACCGGCTTCTGAGGCTTCGGCAGCTTAAATGCCCAACCTCTCCTGATGAGGGACGAGCCACAGGTGCGTTGGTGGGAGTGGCCGTGCCCGCTCAGTGGGCTGATCCTGAGTGGCACAAACCATTGTCACGTGCGACAGAGGGGTGACTGAGATCCCGAGCGTTCGGACTTTAGTATTCCGGAGACGGGGAACGTCTGCTTGTGACATATGCCTTGTGTCCTGTTGTCTTGTGTGAAGTTCTGAAAAATCAAAGTACAAAAATCGAATGTTACAGCAAGGCCATTTACAATACAATGCCAAAATGAAAATGTATATGGGTTTGGCAGGCGTTTTGGTCCTGGAAAAGACGTTACCGGTTTTTTGGATTGACAAACTTCATTGTAGCGTTTACTAAGTTCCCTGTATGCTGGGCCTGTCCCATGACGCCCTAGGTCCCCTAAACAACATTAAAACATTGTGAAATACGTGTACATTGATATTATGTATTTATTAAGATTTTTCCACCTCAGATCACTTAAATTATTTTACTAAACTTGGAAAACTTACCCAGCATCACTCCAGACCACAGGAGGGCATGTGGGAGGAAGTATTTTGCCAAATTTCTTACAAATTTTGGTCCATGGTTTAAATTGTCTTCACCGTCAGTGTCAAGCGGTGCACTGGCAATTGCTTGCCTGAAGTGGCTTTCTAGAGGTGTGGTCGTGAGATCAAGCTGAAAAGAATATCAGAAATGTAGTAAATGTAAATCTTTATACACAAAATTAAAATGTGTTGTTGAATTGCAATATTTAATACTAGCATAACAAAATAAATTAAAGCTGCAAGCAGCGATGAACGGGCCCTCGCCTTCCCTTGCATGTCGGGGGGGCTGCCCAATGGATGGAGACGCGGTCAAAACAAGTTAGTCTGGGATGGGATGTGAACTTGGCCCCTACACACACTGACCCAAGATTAGCCTGTCGGCCACAGACCCTGCTGTACTGAAAGCTTTTGAAAAGTTAAGATCAAATTTATAGTCACGTCACACCTGTTTCAGCGTGTCTGTAAAACACGGGAGCTGTGGATTCACTGTTACCCCTTTCCACCAACAAGAACCAGGTGCTGGTTCGGAGCCAGAGCTAGAGCCGGTTCGGAGTTAGTTCAACTGGCGAGCCTCCAAAGAACCGGTTTGCTTTTCCACAGACTAAAAAGCCAAGTCCTATGTCACAGTTACGTCTCATCTTTCCCAGCAACGTTAGCGCGGCGGCGCCAAACACAAACACATCATCAACAATGGCGGACGTTGCTTTGCTATTGATGTTCATGGCTTTGCGGACCTACATCGACATCCAAACACGGCGGATCAAACATGTTCGCGCGGCTCGCCTTTATTCGTACAGACGGAGATTACAAGCGAGTAACGGTATGTACAACATTTATTTTTAACAATAAGATGCCAACTTTAGCCTGAGATTCATATTTAGCCTTAGCATGTTGCTAACCTCCTAACTTCGACTTTGGTGATAATCGATCGCATTGCAGTTAAAAAAAATGTATTAAGCATTGGTTGAATAAGTATAACGACGCCATTTTTGTGAACACTTGTATGTATGTCTGAGTCATAGGCAAAAACCACTCACAGTATTAAAACTAGAAAATCTGCAAACACGTGACCAGTAAGAAACATGAAGACCCTTTTAAAGACTGTCGGACCTTTCTGCTCTGTTCTCTGGCGACGGCAGGCAGCGTTTCCTCGCTGGATGAGACGCTCCGTCACAAACACGTCTAACGTAATAAACTCATTGCAGGTTCTGAAGCCAAGAAAATATGTATTGCACCGATTGTAGGACGTTAAGGTCTCTTTTGTTGGGACAGTGGAAACAATAAAGGACCATGAAGTGTCAAAAGCATTGCAAGTAAACAGACAAAGACAACAAAGTGTTGCGTTTAGGTCCCTGGTCCTCATGAAGTTGTTACACCTTTGCCAATTTGTTAAATTGTCTTGCAAATAAATGCTTTGCTATTTGTTAAAATCAAAATCCTTTCATGTAATAAATTTTCACGTCATTTATATTCGCTCACACAAACACTTCAACCATTTGTTCTTGGCCCGGCTCTTCCGTCACATTTTACAACACATTGTGGCCCGCGAGTCAAAAAGTTTGCTGACCTGCTATAGACCTGTCCTATAGGAGGGACATCTATAGACCTGTCCTAGGAGGGACATCTATAGACCTGTCCTAGGAGGGACATCTAATGGACAACCAAGTACTGCAAGCTAGACTATTATGCAGCTGTAGATACAACACTGGGGGTCCCTGGGCCTGAGAAGGGAAGAAAAGGAGCTTAATATGGCTATTAAATGGGACTAAAACTAATTACATTTTAGTCTAGTCTAAAAATACATACACATATGTATATAGGCACACGTGCGCGCGCGCGCATATAGGCACACGTGCGCGCGCGCGCATATAGGCACCGCATATAGGCACACGTGCGCGCGCGCACACAGGTACATGTGCCTAATGTCCTATCATTATGGTTCGCCAGAACAGGTAGAGGTACCACCTCCGTGACCTCATGTGCTACTTGTTGTAACGTGTTGTAAAACAAATGAGAAAAAACTATATTTTGTTGTAAAACCTAAGAAGGGAAGTTATAGTTTGTGGAAATGCAAATAAAAAGACAAGTTTTCTTACGAAACAGAAAGCGATTGTCAGGTTGATTTATTTTCCAATGAGGAATTAGTTTACCATTGACGCCCAATGTGACATATATGTAACATTTCAGATCTTTGCCAGTAGAGGGTGGTATTTTGAAAACAATGTCAGAAATGGGTTCTATGTGCTCTATTTAATCTCTTTTATATCCCCCATAATTTTCCTTGAAGGAGAAATGGGTCCGGGTTCTTATGGGTTATTTTTGAAGGGGTATGGGTTAAGAGGGCAGTCTGTTCCCTACATGATCAACGTGAGCAGGGAAAACGTCTTTAGAAGTGGTCCTCTAGAGCAGTCATTTTCAACCGGTGTGCCGCGGGGAATTATCTAATATCACCTAATTAACCATTGTCAGGTGGCTGTAATAAAGTGTAACAGATAATGTAATACGCTTCTATTTCAGTTGGTGGCAGCAGAGGGCGATAAATGCATGTAAAGACAATAGAGTTAGTGCTGCACGACACGTGACAGTTTGGGATCTCAGCAAGACAAGCAAGTGACAGTGATGGAGAAGTTTTTGAGAAGGGAAAATGCAAATGCCGAACAGGGCCCTGGACAAAATTCTGATACAGATGAAGGCCCTAGTATGAGTGGTCAAAAGAAAAAAGACAAGACGGTGAGTTCGAGGCAATACAGCGAAGGCTATCTTTCATTTGGATTTACTTTCACCGGGGATGCGACAGCACCGACGCCGCTGTGCTTGGTGTGTGGTGAGAAGCAGTGCTGCATTTGATACTGTCGACCACTCAATACTTTTGGACAGGTTGGAAAACTGGGTGGGGCTCTCAGGCACAGTCTTAAGCTGGTTCAGGTAATATCTACAAGACAGGAACTATTTTGTTTCCATTGGTGACTTCGTATCAGAAACAACCGACGTAACGTGTGGAGTCCCCCAAGGTTCGATCTTAGGGCCGACTTTATTCAACATCTACATGCTCCCACTAGGACAAATCATGCAAAGAAATAAAATTGACCACCATTGCTACGCTGATGACACCCAAATCTATGTAGCGCTATCATCAAACGACTATCGCCCCATAGATCTTCTGTGCAGGTGCATTGAGCAAATCAAAGACTGGATGTGTCAAAATTTCCTACAACTAAATGAAGACAAAACTGAGATCATTGTATTTGGTGCTAAAAAAGAAAGGTTTAAAGTAACCCAACACCTTCACTCTCTGTCCCTGAAAACATCAAATAAATAAATAAAGCCAGAAATCTGGGGGTTATTATGGATTCAGATTTACACTTGGAGAGTCACATCAAATCAGTAACAAAATCGGCCTACTACCACCTCAAAAACATCGCACAACTTAGAGGGCTCATGTCAGCTCAAGACTCAGAAACACTTGTACATGCCTTTATAACTAGCTAGACTATTGTAATGGTCTCCTTGCAGGTCTTCCAAAAAAACCTGTCAGGCAGCTCCAGCTTGTTCAGAACGCTGCTGCTAGAGTTCTAACAAAGACCAAAAATGTGAGCACATTACACCAATTCTTAAATCCCTACATTGGCTCCCAGTATGTCAGAGAATTCATTTCAAAATCCTACTGCTCACATATAAATCACTACATGGTTTAGGGCCAAAGTATATCACTGATATGCTTCCACTACATAAGCCTTCAAGATCACTAAGATCTTCTGACACCAATCTGTTAGCAATTCTCAGAGTAAATACAAATCATGGGAAAGCATCATTTAGTTACTACGTAACAAACAGCTGGAATAAACTTCCTGAAGATTTAAGACTTGCCAACTCTGACACGTTTAAAACAAGACTGAAAACGTATGTTCAGCTTCGCCTTCTGCTAAATTTTTACCTACATTGCACTTTTAACCTCTGCCTTTAAATAAGATTTTAATTTATAAATTTATTTGCTGTTTTTAAATTGTCTTTTAATTCCTGCATTTTATTTCACTTTATTGGATGAAATTTGCGTCTTTGTGTGAGGAAATGGGAGCGGAACATAAGGTCTTATTGCTCCACACAGAGGTCCGGTGGCTGTCGCGCGGCAAAGTGCTGGCCCGTGTGTATGAGCTGCGAGAGGAAGTATTTCGAGAGGTCCGATTACTCAAAGCTGCTTGCAAGTGATGAGTGGTGTGCAAAGCTGGCTGATATATTTCATCATCTGCATGAACTGAACACACGGATGCAAGGCCGAAAGGAAAACCTGCTTACAAGCACTGATAAAATGAACGGATTCCGTTTAAAGGTGCAGCTCTGGCAACAACAGGTGCAGCATGGCAACCTTGAGATGTTCCCGCTCACCGAGAAACGTCATGACGACAACACTGCTGTAATGTGCGAGGTGATTGGCACACATTTGAAAACTCTCGAGGAGAAGTTGTCATTTTATTTCTCTTCAGCCACAGAATGCCTTGACTGGATTAGGGACCCGTACAGCTCAGCATCCGTTGCTGGAAAGGACATGACTTTAAAGGAGCAAGAGGAACTCATTGAACTGAAACAAGATCGTGGTTTAAAGCTAAACTTTGCTGATCTTCCTTTGGACAGTTTTTGGTTATCTGTTGCCAAGGAGTTCCCCATTCTGGCCAACAAAGCTATTTTGACATTGCTCCCGTTTTCAACCACATATCTATGTGAGCTGAGCTTCTCAAGCTTGACCGCGATAAAAAGGAAAAACAGAGCTGTTGAGGAAGAGCTTCGTGTGTGTCTTTCTACCATTCCTGCCAGGATATCCATGTTGTGTTCATCGAAACAGGCCCAGGTTTCACACTAAGTTAATAATATAGTTTCTAAATGTATTTATACTCACTATGTGTATTGTATGTACTGTGTTAGAGTGTCATTTTGGTTGGTGGTGTGCCCCAGAATTTTTTAAGTGTAAAAAATGTGCCGCGGCTCAAAAAAGGTTGAAAATCACTGCTCTAGAGATCAGCCAGGAGCTCAGGAGCCAAGCGGAGAGCCTCCTCTGCCCCCCATCTCCTCTGACCCCCCTCAGCAGCTGTGCAGATGTGGCGGGGCTGTTTACAGTGGAGGGGGAGGTCGTCGAAGTAAGTTCAATCTTAGCCTGTGGTCGTGTAAATAAGGCAACCGGTTTAAAATATGGTGCATTGGCATATTGTTATCAGATGTCAATGGTGAGGAAAATAAAAGAGGAAAAGATAGGAGAGATGATAAGAGGCCTACCCCCTGCGCCAAATAAAGCTGCAGCAGGTAAGCTGTCCACTTAAATGGGGCGAGAGAGAGAGACACACACACACTCACACAGGCAGACAGAGATACATAGAGAGACACCGACACGCACACAGAGGGAGACAGAATCTTTTTAAAATAAAGCGTAATCTCATCTCCACCTTGCAGGGGGAAACAGTGATTGCACTGAGCCTTTGGAGGGAAGCTGCAGTCCGTGATTGTGAGGTCTCAACCCCAGCGGGGCGGCAGGAGGCCGCAAGGGGGCGGCGAAGAACGCGTCCTCCGAAGCCAATCACCAGAATTCGGAACACCTGCGAGGGAGGAGACCTATAAGAGCGAAGTGTGAGGTATTGCAAGTACGCTTCTCAGCTGAACCCGTTGTTTCGCTGCCCCTGAATTCCTGTAGAACCAGTGAGCTTCCGTGTATCGACCTTCCGCCTTCTCTCGACTACGAACCTGCCTACTCCGTGGATCAGATCTGTCTCCGAACCACTGCCTGTCCCCGGATTCCCCGTACTGCCTTATCCCTTGAGACTACAAGTCCCAAATAAACATTGAGAGCTCTGCTCCTGGGTCTGGGTCTGTCTCCTGAGTCCATTCGCTACAGAAATGTGCTCCAAGTGGGGGGACACACCAGAGTGTCCCATCTTAGAACCAACACGGGACGCAGGCGCAGTCCACCAATATTTCCACCATTGAGGTAGCCCTACTCGGGTGTTACCGTATTTATCATTAAAAGGTGTGTATATAAATAGAACACATTTATTTCATTAAGCTATTTTGTTCACATCTTAAAACTATACACAGGAAGTCTCCTGAAGTGTTCATTGTAAACGAATAAAAGTAAAAAATGTGAAATGAATAAGCAGTTGCTCTGGGTTATCATGTTCTGGTAATTGGTGACAGAGCTATACGTCAATGTTTCCCTGGACAGAAGGTGATATCAGAGGAGGAGGTGGTTGAAGTGGAGGGCTCTCCAGACACCCTGTACCTCCTGATGGAGGACGACCGCACCACCAACATCAGCGCAGCGGGGGCCCATTGACCCCCAAATGAAAAGTCCACCCCTGATGGGAAAAATAAAAATCGTTGGCAATCATGTTTCCAAAATTGAATTGTAATCAAGATTAATTTGTTTGTTTCATATGTTCTTTGTTACTGAACGTTCTGTAATGCATTTGAGTTTTTTTACTGTGTTAATTTTGTTGTTGGATTGATCAGTTTGTATGAATAGTTTTAATGCTCATTCATCACTAATATTTGTATTATAATGTATATATGTAATTTTAAAATATTTAAGTATTGTTCTTCGAGTCTTTATTCTTCTATTTCTTCCGTGCGGCTTTCAACTGGGCGAGAATGTATGTGTTTAGGTTATTGTTTCTCAGCCAGTGTTTTTATCTTCATAAATGTAATAATTAAAATACCTGACATATACTATATGTCCTTGTTTGTCACACCTGTATGTCTAGTTGGGTTTTTGTCCTTTCTCTACGTTTGTTTTCGTGACTTCCTGTTTTTTGGCGATTAAAAATCTCCTCTCGTTTCAGGTTCCTTGTCCTTCCTGATGTGTCACCCGTCTGATTGTGTTCACCTGTTCCATCATGTCACTGCATGAAAAGTGAAATTTTCGTCCCCGTAAACGCCCGGAAATCTCCCTAATTTCCAACCGTTTCCGACAATTTGCAACCTGCGCGTTTGTCTGTGCCACAAATTGTCAGAAACGAACCATGACGTAGGTGGAGAGCTGGCGGAGGTGCGAATGGTCCTAATTAGCATATGAATGCAGCGAAACCGCAGGTGGCCGAGCGGGCTTGAATATCCTTACTCCTTATTGGATGAAACCACAACTTTCAAACAAGAAAAATCACTCGTGATTGGCAGCAAAACCACCATCTGCCCACACTTGGGTAACGGCGGTTTAGAAAACTACAGCTCAGTAAACTGTCCGTTTGCCTCCTCGGGGTTGCAGACCGTCACTGGCGGCGAGTTTTCCGAGGCAGGTCTGTTGTGCAGGCGTGTGTGTGGCTCTGTATTTCTGAGTCTACGAAATGGCAGCGACCGTACAATCCACCCAGAGACCCCGCCAACAACGCCGTCCTCTCTGTCCGATGTGAGCTCTACGGTGGCGGATTTCCAGAGTTCCACCTCGTCATCAGCCAGCACTTTGTCTCGATTCCAGCGGCTGTAAAAACAACAATGAATCAGTACTGTGCGATGCGTACGGACACAACACATCTATCAATGCACCTGAAACAAGTCAGCAAATTAACTCTTTCGCTCTGAATTCTTTGCAGCTTCCGCCCGCAATGAGTATTCCGGCTGGGAAAACCTGAAGCTCCTGCGTCCCGTCTCACAGGCGGCTGGAAAACAATTAAATGAGTGTGGTATGAATTTAAAAAAAAAAAATCAAACGCAAGTCACAGTAACATTTAACAAGGAAGGAGAAACCGTGTCACTTACACACAATGACGTCTTTATCCAAATCGAAATCTGGACTTTTCCCGGAGCAAATACGAGGTCACCGCCTCATTATGAGGCGAGATTAGTCTGAAAACAAAATGTACAGTTATGATCGGTATCTATACGTATATATTTCCTTATAGCGCAGAATGAAAGCACATTCTTTAAATCTAACCCTTGCTCCGGTTCGTAGCGCCTGTAGTTCGTCTCGGCGTTGTGAAGACGCCGCACCGCTTCCTGTAAACGACACGGCAAAGAAAACACACTTTAATAAAGCAGTTTCTGCTCACTTGTAAGGCTACTTTTAGCTTAGCTAGCAGTCATCGAACATATTCTTACCCCTATCTTGGGATCGTGCTCCCGTCTCCTCTTCTTTGAGTCGGTTCCTCTCCTACATGGACAGAAGTCCCGAACGCTCCAGTGGAGCGAACCGCTCGTTGATATCAGCAGTTTGTTGTTGGAGTTGACGAGACGATCCACTGAGAGCTTTCAGCAGCTTCTTCTCGTCTGTCTGCGGACTGGCCGAAAGTTGGTGACCGCGGAGAGGAGTTGAAGGCCAGTTGAACGCGAGACGTCGTCCAGCCATTATTCACGAAGCAGCAAAAACCAAACAAAGGAACTGGAGATACAGTTCTTCTGAATATAGTAACGGTTTGTATGCCCGTGTATGAGTGACATACGTGCAATGTTGACAACGTATCATCACATGTACCCTTGTCACTGAGGTTGAATGTTTTGCCGTGACATGTAAACGGGTAACATATATGACTGTAACTTACTCAATCGATAGATGCAGAGCATAAAGGTCAGCATGTGTTCATGCTAAGTGGTGTGGAAACACTAACAGTTTTGAGGAACCCGTCCTTGACCCTCTAGCAGAACTACGACCAGCCATTGTAAAGCAGTTTATAGTTGTTAATGTTGGGTCAAAGGGTATGGCATTTAAACATGTTCTTGCACAAGTTTCCTGGCTTCATCTCCACCCGGACAGACATTTTTATGGAAAGCCAATAGAAGTTTGGGGCTTGCAGGGAACAGACACGTCATACAGCATCATTTCTCCCAGTTGAGCGCATTGCTAGAAGATGTGTGGTTAATACATCCTCTGTGCATTTAAGTAAGACCAAAGAAAAGGTCACTGTAGTCCTGCCACTATGCACTGTGGTTGAGCTCTAAGAGACTGATCTCTGCAGACCCCACATGCTGATTCAAATGTTGTTTGCATGGAATGCTCATTTTACCTTGATTAAAACTCATCTTTTAAAGAAGTTATTTTGTGTATCTTTTTTACATAACATTTGCCATTGCTAATGGCGTACAGTAATCTAGCATATTTGAATGAAATAAATCAATTCAAGCTAAAATGTAAGAGTCTATAATTAGGCTACTGAGCCTGATCTATTTGTACCAGAGATTTTCTTACCTTTTAAAAAAATGTCACCTGGGCTAAAACTCCCTCTGCGACCCTGATTTGCATTTGTATAGCTCACAGCATTTTCATTTACATGTCAAAGCCTCCCCTAGAATTAGGAGGAGGGGGTCATGGGGGGACAACTGCCAAGGGAGGCCCACGTCAATTTCTGACAATTTACGGCAGTTTTCGTCGATTCCCGCAAATTGCCGTGAACCTGAAATTCCACGACAATCTACAGTGCCGCATACTGCCGAAAATCCCACTTTTCATGCAGTGTGTGTGTGTTCATATAGTCTGCGTCTCCCTTTGTCTTCTGCCAGTGTGTCGTCCTACATAGTCGTACCAGCCATATGATTGACGTCATAATTTCAGGTGCAACACAGAAGAGCTGCATTGAGCACGAGAGAATATAGTTCTACTGTGATAGAATTTATTATTTCTTTATTTAGTAAACACTCTGCCTGATTATTTTCGTCTTTATTTTACGCAGCAATCTCCTGCCATTCGTGTGAGGAAGTGAAGTCACGTGTCTTCAGCTCAATGCGCAACGTCACCGAAGGAACAACGCTACACGCTGGGATTAATACTTCGGTGGGGGCGGATCGTCCGCCGTGACGGGAGAGGCCGGATGGGGGGGACGCCCGCTCTGTCCGCTGGTGGGCGCGTGCTCACCTGTGTGCGTGCACGTGTCTGCCTGTGTACTAGGGATGTCACAAGAACCGATACTTACAGTACCTTTCCATACTAAAACACCGACGATGCCTATTTTTTTAAAGTTCCCGCGCATCTGTGCTGCGCCTCTTCTGGAACTGATTGGGGCAGTATACGCTTCAGTGTTATGTTCAGAAAACAAAGATGGCAACTGCAGCACTCGTCCCACCTCAACTTGTTGACAAGAAAAGGCACAAAGTGTCGGGTATGGTAGTACTTTGTGCATTTGAGGCAGATGACGGTGGCTTGATTATTTTTTTGGTGGAGTCAGTGTGTGTTCTCACCCCTGTGTGCGGGGGAGGTCCTTGAAGTGTTACGGCCAGCTCGTTTCGACCGTACATAAAGAAAACAAGTACAATGAAATGACTTGCAAGAGTTAAGTTACCGTTATTCTGAACGAATAATTAAACAAAACAAAGTCTAGGTTCAAAACAAAGGGGAAAATCATAATCCAAATGGGGAGAGAAAAGATTGGTATGAGTTGGGTAACTAAACAAAGGTGGGCCAAAGTGACTTCTCCAGAGGCAGTCGCCCCCCTGGAGGAAGGGCCGTGGAGAGGGGAAATCCAGGGTTTTATCCTCTCCACAACCAAGAGGCAATCAGGGAACAGGGGTGTGCAATCTCCCACGCTCTCCCTAGAAGATACCGCCACCAGCAGGCGAGCAGATGAAGGGCGGGGTCATAACAGAAGTAAGTTCAATCTTAGTATTAATATTTAGTGCATCTTGGCATAAATTGCGTCACACCCGACAAAATCTCACTCCAAGGTTATTTGAAAAATTGGCACCTCTGATGATCAGAGAGGGCTAGCGCGAATTGTGGCACCGGCAACTCGCCGAGGCACCTGTTGCAGGTTCCGCGGTGAATCGTGGCAGCTGCCTCGAGTTTACGGCAACTGCCTCGGCTGAGTAAGGTACCTCGAGCAGTACCACGAATTCAGGGGGCGGTTCATCGGTCGAGAGGTGCCACGGCTGTTAACGTACCGGGAGAGGTGCCACGGCTGTTTCCGTTAATTTTAGTATTCATATGTATGCAACATGTGACAGTATAATACAGGTTGAGTTGCCGTGGAGAGTCGTGGCAGCGGCAACAACTTCACGACAGCTGCCTCGACTGTTTTTCATATTTTGACAAAATGTGACAATACTATCCTGCACTCTGTGCTTAAGAGTACGAGTGTTGTTGGTTGTAATTGGTTGAGTCAGAAAACGCTGATAAGTGATGCAATAGCATCACTTATCAGCGTAGCAATACAGTAATAAAGGATATTATATCTGTTCATCATCGTATATATTAATTTTATGTATGTTTATATATTTTCTCACATTTTTTAAAACCTTTTTAATAAGTTTTTCTGTTTATCTCAACAGGACTCTTGTTTGGGGAGGCAGTAAGAACAATGTGACCGCATGAGGCCCAAACAGCATCATTCCAGCTATTGTAAACATCACGTGATCAATCAGTTTGCCACAGTTCCTGTCTTGCAGGTCCTCTGGCGAGCGCAACTGCCACGACTTGCCGCGGCAGTCACCATGATATGCTGCAGCAGCTGCCACGGCTTGCAAAGCAGTTATCTCGACATGCAGCTATACCAGGGGTGGGCAAACTACAAGTATTATGAATTATTAATTATAGTAACGAACGCTGTAACACTTCTCCGTTCCCGACTTGAGTTTCCTAAAGCACGATGACTGCAAAAGACCAGCATAGATGTTTCTTGAATGGATGAACACCTCAGATCTGTCCTGAGAATTGCCAGAACAAAGCTGACACCAAACTATCTGCACTGGCAAAAAAGGGGGACCAACAACACTGTACCTACTGAAATGCAATGTAAAAATGTATGTTCACTAAGTTTTAGATTTTACTTATAATTTATATTGGTTGACAATATAACTATCCATCTGACACCGGCCGGCCCGTCTGTCAAATTTTAAAAGTCAATGTGGCCCATGAGCCAAAAAGTTTGCCCACCCCTGAGCTATACAATAAGAAAATAACGTCTTTGAGAGTCAGTTTGTCGCTGTTTTTTGTGTTGTGTTTTGCTGTTTACATTTGTAATAGTATGGCTACTTTTAAGTCATATGCGTTTGTGGGTTTAAATGTTTTTTGTTTATTAGTCATATACACACACATATATATATATATACATACGTATATGTGCGCGCACACCTGGTGTAGTTGCTGTTGCAGCACTGCCTGCTTCTGTTGCCAAAATGTAGTGAATATAACCTTTTATCATATATCTGTATATTTTTAATTGTATTAAGTCTAATTTACCTTTTTTGTCATAAAGCTCCAACCATATCTAATAGTTTGTTTGACTCTTCATTGTTCAAAGTCTTTGAATGTGATTTATATGTTACAGCCTACACATTTGATATTCATTTAGTAAAATTAGCTATTAAATTATACCATACTAATTACCATTTCCATATTGCAAAGGGTTCAAAGTTTCTCACACACACGCAAAACAACCCGTTACTCTTTGGATGTGTATTCATCGCAACAGATATTTGCAAAATAACCAGAGACCCAGTAGTGCTGCCTCTTTATTACAACAATGATGATTTGAGGCTGCAATATTTAAATTAACTTCCATACCTGGCAACCCGTCAACAGGGTCGTAAGAAATCACGGCCGACTGTAGCCCGACAGACAATGCAAGGTAATCGTCTAAAGATAAAAAGTCTAACGATAATAATGTATATGTTAACTTTGTTTATTCTAATTGACATCATAATGGTTACAATGACAATTACATAATCAATTCAGTTATTCATATTGGCAGATACCATACATCTGTAAAAGCCTTTAGAGTCAACAACTCCTCGTTTATTTATGTCAGGCTCGCTTAACAATAATGGCCACTACCCTCCCCTAACGGAACAATCAGTCGTACTTGACAAGAAAAAGAAATTCATATGAAAAACACATTTATCTTATATCTTAAACAAGTAGTTACTTCAATATGGTTATGTTGAAACTGTGACAAGTTGTATTATATTCATTTGTCAACCTTTCTATTTAACCGTCCTCTTCAATGTATCCAATGACTCTTGAGTTGGTGACTTTGCATCTAAAACGATTGAAAAATGTAAGGTGAGAATGGTTAAAAAAGAGATGCCTAAGCATAATTTGGGAAAGCAGACAAAATGAAAGAACAAAAGTAAAACAAAGTATACATCATGTGAAAATAGGCAGGCAGATATTTCAATAAAGGCTATCCAATTGAAGGCCCAGATATTACAACGTGGGGGAGGGGTGTTGATGAAGCAACCTACAGTGTTTTTTTCACAGGTTCACATCAGGCCTTTTCTGACGTTGCATCATTTTTTGATTGTGCCGCTTCAGAGTGTGTATTCTGCAAACAAAAGAACCACCTTCAGTAAACACATCTCAAAGATGCAATTTTTTTTGGGGACAATGATCAAGGTATGTTATACAGTTTTAATATAATTTAGAGATTGTAATGCATTTTAGCAATTCATGTTATTTGTCTTTCAGAGAAATTTGTGGTGGCCTGCTTCTGCAAAGATGGAAAACAAGCATCCAGAAGCCATTACCATTGTCCATTTAGTAAATTTATCATTTTTACACGTTCAGGGACCTTCATGAGGCATTTAAAAGGCAGACATGGTAAGTGTATTGATGTGGCACTTAGATACATTTTAAACTTTAATTAATCCATAATGTGATCCACTCGCATGTGTGTCCGTGTGTTTGGGATAGGTGGGGCGATTGTTTTTACTGTTTAGGTAAAAATACGTACCGGATGTAGGCACAAACATATCACAATTAAAGTTATAACAACAATCATTTTTTTCTGTATGCTATACAATATACACAAATTTTTGCACCGAAACCCATTCATTTATTGTCAGTGAGCCACAGAGACCCCACATATATGCGATAAATAGCAGTGGTTATGATTTGAACTGGTATGGGTCACCCTATAATACTCTTTAGGGTGCATGACCATTATAATTATCTAATGCCAGTGCTGTATTTTAACAATTTCTATCTCCTGTAGGTATCGAATCAGCCAAAAAGCAAGGTAATATGTTTTTTTTTATTACTTTATACCTACATTCATTTATGATCAACAATCTTAGAATAGTACTTTAGTTAGTCTTCCAGGAGAATATGTACTGTGGTGTCTTTCAGATGTGTATGACATATTGTAAAAATAAACAGTTTGCCATAATATTGCTGTTGATGTAAATAACCTCAGTGGTTTTGGTTCTGCATATCTAGTGCTTTGGGACATCAAACAATCAATAAATTATTGCCGTCCTATAAACGCACCGTCGGCTGCATGTCTTGGCAGGTGGCACAAACAGACTAAACATCATATTTTGTCAGCATGTACTGCTAGGATATGCTATCCCTATTTGTTATTACACATTAGAGCCAAAACTACATTCTGATGAAGTTTGTGAAAACAGTTGTATAGAAAACCTTCATATTAAAAGGGTTATGTTTGTATTGACAGCTGTGATAATATATCTTGTTTTTGCAGAGAAGCCAAGCACTTCAAAGCCAACACAGATGACTCCATAAATGATACAAATCAACAGTTCTGCTTGTCCACATAGCACAGCCGTGCAAAGTGCCCCAAAAAAATTAAAAAGACATAAAGAGATGTACATAATCTTGATACATCTCCCATGATGTGTATTGACATAAGAAACGGAATCTACGTCACTGCAAAGTACGACCAGTCAGTTTTTTCCAATTCATGTGATCAAATCCACCACAACTCGATTGTGAGGTGGAGATGTGTACGTTCATTCCAGGATTGCCTGGTCATCATGAAGCAGTCCTGCAAACTACTTCACTGCAGGACATGGTTAGCAAAGGCCTAATGTCATCTGAGTTGGGTGACAACTGTGAACATGTTGCCACCAATGACGAGAGTCGATAGTGTTTCCTATCTTCTTCTATCTCCTCAAGGGTGACGTTTAATTCAGTGGGAGGACAGTGGAACTGTCAGTGGTGGGGAACTGGTCGATTGCACCGCTGCATCCATCGTATGATTGGAATGTGGTGGATTTTCCAGCAGTCCCCAGGCACACTGGCATCCTCGGACATCCAAATGAAGGACATTGCTGACTTGGAAACTCACATGGTGGAAAGCCGCAACCTCAACACACAAAACATCTGTGTAATGACTGAGTACCTGGCAACAAAAAAGCGGATCCCATGTCTGAAAGACTTGCCTGTGAAGCTGAGGACTCAGGAGGAACAGCCACCAGAATGTTTTGTGCCTTCTGAAAGTACCTGGCCCCACACCTCCAGCACTGAATCCTTTAAAGATTATCACCACTCAGGCAATGGTGTACGGGATAAGCTATGTCCATAAAAGGTAAATCAACAATTATTTCTTACATGGATGTTCCCCTGATGAGATCACATTATATCTGGGCCTCAACAACCAGACTGCTAAAGAAGCTTTGTGTATGCATGAAATCAACTTTTAATTTTCTTAATACGTGTTTCAGTTGCGGAAAAACATTGCCCGACGTGTGCCAACGTTGTGAGATTCCAGGATTATTCTCCCAGATTTCACAGCTTTAACAACCGTGTGATCTTAACACTGCCATTGTGTGAGCTTCTCCGGTCGGGTTTGTCGGTAAGACGCCTGTTAATGTTTTTTTTGCACTTTAGTCAAAGACAAGTGTCTTTCATGAAAAGGTTAAGCACATTAAAGCATGTACTAATGGATAACAAGACAACCAGTGGACGGATGCTTGACACTGTCATTTTTCAATGACAACCGGTACCACCATCAAATAGTGAGGAGAGCATTCCATCACTTCCACCACCTACCAGTGTGGACACCACCCAGCGTCATTGTAGCAGAAGCAAATTGGAAACTGGCCTTCGATGTCCCTCGTAAGAATATTTTAGCTTTCTGTTACATCTCCCTACTAAAATTAAAATTATAATGATGAAGATTTCAACACATGCAAATATGTGCCTGTATTAAGGGTGTTAGATTTACAAGGGCTCTATAATAAATGACTTGCTTGTACATTCCGGTTTTGTATAATGGTCAATCTTGTTTAATTTAAACAAAGTTAGGGGTTATGTTTTTCTATAAGAGTTCTATGTTCAGCACAGCTTTGTAATTATGTAAACAAATTCATTTGCAGTTGGGACATTTAAAAGGCCTGATCCAGACACCATAGCGGACAAGGACCTACAGGTGGACATTGTCAAGGCGTGGTCGGATCTGGACCGTTCACAAATTGCTGAGGGCCTCATATCAGGTTTGGACCAAATTGTTAAAGTGATATATATTATAATTATGTATATGCTCCACTAACTAAATCTTTGAACAAATGAATGTTCAATATGATATGTTTTACAAATAGGGTCCATATTGCTTATCTGTTGGCCACTCCACTTTGGCACCTTGGATGGGAGAGCACACCAGAGTTGGAAACGTTCTCCCTAAAACAGAAGTTAAAAAAAAGGCAATGAAAAGGAAAACTGGGGATTTCAAACATCCTGCCAAAAAAAATAAATGAGGACATAATACTTTAACTGATTGAGTCAAACAAGGTACACACATTGACAATCTTACTATTTTGATGTATGCAAGTTATTTATTCTCCATACGATAGATATTACTATTGATAAAAGATCCATCCATCCATTGTCAAACCGCTTATCCTGCACACAGGGGGGCTGGAGTCCATCCCAGCCAACTTCGGGCGATAGACAGGGTACATCCTGGATTGGTCGCCAGCCAATCGCAGGGCTACACAGAGACATACAACCATTCACACATCTACGGGCAATTTAAAGTCCCCAATTAACCTGATCGCCAGAGCATGTCTTTGGACTGTGGGAGGAAGCCGGAGAAAACCCACGCAGACACAGGGAGAACATGCAGACTCCACAGAGAAAGGCCACTGGGCAGAATCGAACCCAGGACCTTCTCGCTGTGAGGCAACAGTGCTAACCACCACGCCACCGTGCCGCCCTTGATGAAAGATGTGACATAATTATATTTGTGTTTGAAAGTACTGAAATGGGCCTCTGGAATTTTTCAGCCACAGAAAAAGGATCTCCAGGAAGCTTGTGACACCCTGGGTGTCTCCTCAGAGGGGTCCATAGCCGACATGCTGAACAGGCTTCAGGAATTATTAAACTTCAAAGATGTTTACCCAAAGCTGTTTGTGAAACTGCTGGTGGTGAGATCTTATTTGTGAAAATTCTTCTTTTTACATTCTATAAACTTTAGTTATATGATTGCCATTTAAAATCTTTTATTCTGAAGGTTGAGTACTTCACTTCAGCTGTCCACATGGCGTTGTGTATTACGTCAACATTCTCTTCTGGACAGAGTCCGCAAGAGATCACGCGGACGGGCTGCTGAGTTTTAAACACTTCCCTACCTGTTACATTTCGGACGTTGCAGGACAGGTTGCTCGTCACGCACAAAACAGCAATATTTCCAGCCATTTGACGGAAGACTCTGTGGCACAACATCAAACAACATGAAACTGGCGGCTGATAAACAATTAAAAAGGTTGACCTGCAGTGGGTGAAGAACCTGCGATCAACATTACCACTGCAGGAAATGCCAGATAATGATAGGATGGCAGCAAGGCATCCCATTAGGTACTCTCTGTACGACAGATTCCACCAGAAAAATCAAAGAAGGCCTGAAGAGAAGTTGAGAAGCCTCAACATCTGCCCCAGTTTACGGAGAGAGGTGAACTCATCTGTTGCAGAGCAGTTCAATCGTGAACTTTCTTCCGTAAAATATTCATTGTGCCAAATGAACGAGCCACACGTCAAACAAACCTTAAGGGTGCTCATCGAACTGCATAATGAAAGGATAAACACAACCTTCAAAGCACAAATGGAGGACATGTGCAACACACAGTTGTACGTTTGACTTCATGGGATGCTGGGACTGCAGTCTGCCGGTAAGTTTGATTAGTATATACTAGGCTATAGTAATTCTAAATAATACTTGATCAAATATACAGGTTAACCCATATTTTTAATTGTTGAGGATCGCAATTATTACTTTGTTTTTCTTTGTTAGAAGCAAAGGAAAATCCACTTCCTTCGGTGGGCCAAAACATCGAACATAAACAAATGAAGTCGTCATTCGTTGCACGATCCTATGCAATCACTGTAAAGGACCAGGTAATCTGTAAATATGTGTTATTTCTTGTTTGTCCAAAATGAAGCAATACATTTTTGATTTGTATCATTTTGTTATCATGTGTGTGTGTTAAGGAAAAACTCAAACTATTCACAGGATGCCGTGCCGAAACTGCAACTATAGTTGAAATATTGAGGCTATATGCAGTGTCTTTAAAAGACATTGAGTGTTTGCCCACCAGAACTGTTGGGGCTGACTGATGATGTAAGGGTACCACAATGACAACCATAATGTCAGTTACAGCAGAATTTAAAGACCGAACGGTTTTTATCAGAATCTCAGAAATGTACTTAATCTTCCTATTGAATTCCAGGCAGTCAACTATCGAGTAGCACTGCTGGCTCAAGAAAACCAGGTAACTGTAAAATTATCCATTTATTATTATTTTATATTGATGCTTTTATATGTTCACACACATTAATTACATGTTCTGTTGAAGTGTGGTGCTTTGGGTACCTGTTGATTTCATTTTGTGGCACCGACAATGGAACAACAGTGGAGCAGTCAGTGACAGTTGTTAAATGCATTCCTGTAGGTACTTTTAATAATGGTCTATGCATAATGAAACAAATTGTAC